CTCCCGTTGGCTGTCGGCTCGCGCAGGGGGAGCAGCACCTGCGTGCACAGAGGATGCTGTATCCCGCAGGCTGCCGGCTGAGCGTGGGCACGCGGAGCTGCGTGGTGAAGGAGGGCGATGACTTCTTGGAGCACCTGGTCCTGCTGCGAACGGTGAGATCCAGGGCTGAAGAGCCCCTTGGCGTGAGCCTGCGCCCCAGCGGCGGGGCCGGCTGATGGCCGGGCTCTGCTTGGCTCCACAGATCTGCCTGGGAGCCGAGGCCAGGGACGAGCTGCATGTGGTGGCCGTTGACTCGAAAAACACCTATGGAGACCACAAGCCAGTGCCCATCGCGGCGCTGCGGACCTCGGTGCTCCCCATGGTAAGGACAGCCGAATGCCCGGCGTGCAGCCCTGGACACAGGGTAATAATTTTGCCCAGGGAGCGCGGTCTCCACCGAGCCGTGGCCAAGGCTCTGGGCAATGCTGGGGGCTCCTTCCCACTCTGGCCGTGTCCATCTGACTGCCTGCAAACCCCTCCCTGGCACGGAGGCGTTGCCCATCCCACAACGGTGCCGCAGGGGTTAACCCGTGCTGCTGCCCACCCAGACTGGGCTGAGGGGGCTCTGAGCTCCGACTCTTTGCAGATCAGCCTCAAAGGTCTGGAGCTGGTCCCTCCCGTCACCTTCGTGCTCAAGTGTGGAGCTGGACCGGTCTATCTCAGCGGGCAGCACATCACCCGTGAGTGCTGTGGGGCCAGGGCGAGCGTGTGGGCTGGGGGCTGTGCTGGCGAGCGTCCCACGGGTCCCGTGGTGGCTTTAGGGGCAGCTGGTGCCTTCCACAGGGCTGCTTCACAGAATCACAGAATCATTAGGTTGGAAAGGACCTTCAAGATCATCAAGTCCAACCATTAATCCAGCACCACCATGTCCTTCACCCCGGGGAGGGAGGGAGCGCTGGTCTGTCGGGGCGATTAGCACTTGTTTGCGTTCGCCAGCTTGACACGGCGGTCCATGCCGGCTCTCCGCTGCCGTGGGGTGGGATGGCATCTGAGTTCCCGCTCCTGCGTGGGGTTGGGATCGCTGGCTGTGTTTGCAGCCGGGGGGTTTTGCGTCCCCTCGGCTGGTCAGGGCCACCCCCTCCTGCTGCAGCCCTGTATCTCCTCTCCCCAGTGGAAGATGATTGCAAATACGAAGCCCACAAGGAAGAGCTCTCTGAGGAAGACACAGGTGATGAGGATGATGCTAGAGCATCATAGAATAGCTGCAGCTCGGAGAAGACTTCATGGCTCTGGGAGCGGAGCTGGCGTGATGGCGGGGATGCCCCTGGGCCAGGATGGGACAGATCCTTGCAGGGGGACACAAACTGTCTGGGCTTTGGATATCCTCTCCCTGCCCCTTCCATTCCTACCGTGTGCCCAGAAATGCTCTTTTTCCTTTTTTATTGCAATAATAATGGGAAAGTGCAAATACCCTGGAGTTGGTCTGGTACTCCCGGGCCAGCCTGCTCTCCCGTCCCTCCCTGCCTGCCTGCTGCCTCCAGCAGCTCCCTGCCTCCTCTCGAGAAAACTTATTCCGCGCCTGCAATCGCCGCGATGCTGTGGGTC